CTTCTGTAGTATCCTGCCATGCCCAGAAAACGTCGTAGCTCTCGCCGGGTGGTCGGCGGAGGGTACGCAGTTATCGCAGCGATTTTGGCTTCTATGGGGCGCACCTGACCCTGACCGACTACACGGCCCAGGTAGGTGACAGAAGCCTTTCCAAATTCGCATTTTGCCAAGTTAAGGGTTAAAGATGCATTGGCTAAGCGAGTAAACACTTGTTTGAGGGTATTCATGTGCTCTTCCCACGTGGCAGAATGCACTATCAAATCATCTAAGTAAGCGTTGCAATTCGGTACGCCCCGCAAAACAATGTTAACCAATCGCTGAAATGTAGCAGGCGCATTACACATCCCAAAGGCCATGACAGTATATTGTAAAAAGTAATCGGGCGTGACAAAAGCAGATATTTCAGATGCGCGCTCTGTCAGTGGAACCTGCCAATAACCTTTTAACAGGTCCAACTTACTAACATACTTAGCAGAACCAAGGTTATCAATACAGTCTTCCATCCGGGGCATAGGGTAGGAGTCGGGGACAGTGACAGCGTTAACTTTACGGTAATCAGTAATGAAGCGGGGAGAGCCATCGGGTTTGCCCTCTACTAAACAGGGGGAGCTCCAGGCACTGGTACTGTGTTTAGCTAAGCCGTGTTGGAGCAAATACTCAGCCTCTTGTTTCATCAGAGCGCGTTTGACAGGATTCGCACGATAGGGATGCTGACGGACCGGACGTGCATCCTTAACATCTATATCATGCAGTAAAACAGTGGTACGGCTGGGGACGTCAGCAAAAAGGCAGGGGAATTGGTAGACTAATTCAAGTACTGCGGACCGTTGGTCTGAAGTCAAATGAAGTAAATGGGAGGGAAGAGACTTCAACATTTCGGAGTTTGGTAGACGAGCGCTTTGCGGCTTCCGGGTCTCTACACGTTCATCATCAATTAGTTGATCTGTTACAACCACTGCAACTACGCACGGAGACGGCTCTGTTTCAGCGCGGTTTGGTTTATCACCGCGGGGATGATACTTCTTCAGCATGTTTATGTGACAAACGCGCGTCTTTCGTGTCCGATCTGGCGTACCGATCACATAATCGGTGTCAGTAAGTTTCTGTTTGATCTCATAAGGGCCAGAAAACTTTGCAGAAAGAGCATGCCGTTGGACTGGGAGGAGGACGAGTACTTTGTCGCCAGGGCAAAAATCGCGTTTTACAGCCTTTTTGTCATAACGGTATTTCATTTTGGTTTGAGTGCTAGCAAGTGTTGTTTTGGCGATTTCATTGGCTTTCAATACACGTTCACGAAATGTACTAACATAATTCAGTACGCTACTAGGAGTGGCAGAGGACGGGGAAAGAAATTTTTCCTTCAATACTTTTAGCGGACCGCGAGGAGAATGCGCAAAGACTAACTGGGCTGGACTGAATCCTAGAGATTCTTGGACTGCATCTCTTGCAGCGAACAAGACAAACGGAATACCCTCATCCCAGCATTTACCCGTTTCAACACAATATTTCTTTAACATGGACTTTAGGGTTTGATGCCACCGCTCTAACGCACCCTGCGATTCGGGATGGTACGCACTTGAGACTACATGTTGAACTCCCAGGGTTTGGATTACTTCATTAAAAATTTTTGACTGGAAATTGGACCCTTGGTCCGTTTGGATTACACGAGGGAGCCCAAAGAGCGTGAAGAAATGATTCAACGCGGCTATCACTGAACGGGAAGTAATTTTCCGCAAAGGAATGGCTTCAGGAAAACGTGTAGCCGCGCACATAATGGTAAGCAAATATTCGTTTCCCTTTTGAGTGCGAGGTAGGGGACCAACACAGTCAACTATGACACGGTCAAAGGGCTGGTCTATGGCAGGAATAGGATGTAGTGGGGCTTGTGGGAGTGGTTGGTTAGGTTTACCTACTATCTGGCACACATGACAGGTGCGGCAATGTGCGGCTACATCTTTTTTCATGCCTGGCCAAAAAAAATGATTGAGAATGAATTGATAAGTTTTGGTTACCCCTAGGTGACCCGACCACTGACTCTCGTGGGCCAGTGTTAATACTGATGGTCGGTACTGTGTGGGGATTAACAACTTGATAGACTGCGTTAAAAGTCGAATCATCAGCCCAACTTGGAGTCCATTTACGCATAAGTAAATCCTGGTCAAGGAAGTATCCTATTTTAACATTGTCTAGCTGTTTACCACTCACCACAGCGGAAAAAAGAGCATGTAACGTTGGGTCCGCCCTCTGCGCTGCACACAGGGAGTCACGGGAGCACGACAAACGCAAATCTTCTGTAGAGAAAGAAGCAAATGTTTTAGCAGTTTCAGGGTTTTCTGACAATGGCGACTGAGGGTCGAGTTTTGGATTTGCATCATGCGATGGAATAGCGGGCTCTGGCATCGTAGCAAAAAGTATGCTATCAGACAAATCTATATCGGGGTTTTTTCGCTTCTGTGCGCGCGTAACGGCACAGACTGGGTACAGGTCAGGCGCACTGGGATCTAAATCACTGGATGGGGGGGAATCGACTACCTCGAGGGAAGGAGTTACTTTACCCCCTGCAATGTCATTCCCCAGTAGCATTTCTACCCCATCGATGGGCAATGCGGGACAGACTGCTACTGGAAAAATGCCAGTAACCAGTTTAGATTGTACATGCACAAAATGAACAGGCCTAGGAGTATATCCCATTTCTATTCCCCTTAGTACAGATCCGTACCCACAAGATGTCTCGGAGGAAAAGGGGAGAGCACTGGCTAAAATAACAGATTGTGAGCCACCAGTGTCTCTCAAGATGCGGATAGGGCGCTGATCATGTGCTTCGCCAGTTAATGAAACTAACCCCTGAAAAATGAACGGCTCAAAACATGAGTCGGGATTTTGGCTGGCGTGTGACACTAAGCTACCAGTTTCCGATTTAATGAATCCCACGCCTTTTGTTTGGGGAGCGAATGGTTCCGCTTTTTTGTTGAGAACAGGGCAGTTTGCGATGAGATGTCCAGGCTCGCGGCAGTAAAAAACATTCTCGTTCATTCGTTTTACTGTTAACAGAGCTTACAGGTGAATTGGATCTACCTGATGCTGGGGTAGGCCCACGCACCTTATCATAATTAGCCATGAAAGTTGATTTATGGGTTAACACAAATTCGTCCGCTAAAACAGCAGCATCTGATAGTGTTTTCACCTTCTGCTCGTTTAGATAAACTACAACCCGTTCCGGAAGGTTTCTCTTAAAATCCTCCAACAGTATCAATTCCCGTAAAGAAACGAAATTCTGGGCCTTTGCCGAAGAACACCATTTATCAAACAGGTTTCCTTTCTCCCGAGCAAATTCGGTATAGGTACGGCCAGGGGCTTTTCTGTGACCTCTGAATTTTTGCCTATACGCCTCGGGAACTAGCTCGTAGGCGCGTAGGACAGCACTTTTGACTGCGTCATATGAGAGACTTTCAGTGAGAGGAAGTGCAGCGATAATCTCCTGTGCCTTGCCGTACATTTTACTTTGCACGAGGAGGGGCCAGACATCACGAGGCCAATTTAAAGCCGTCGCAATTCTTTCAAACGCTGCAAAATATGAATCGACTTCACTCTCCCGGAATGTAGGAACAAGAGGAATACATTTACTTACGTCAAGGGCTGCACAGGTCTGAGCGGTGGAGGAGAGGGCAGGCGTAGCGAGCCCAGGGCTGGTAGGACTGGAAGGGAGGCGGCCTTCTGCCTCCAGCTCAAGGCGTCTGAGCTTCACAGCGGTGTCAGCCTCAATCTCAAGCGTTCTGATCTTTAGCTCGAGCTCAGCTCTACGATTCCTTTCTTTTTCCTCGGCTTCCATTTGGATGCGCGCCAGGCGCACCTTACGTCGAGTGGCATCCTTAGAGCCGGGAGAGGAGGGAGGCGAGAGGGGATTAAACCGGGGAAGCGTAAACGGTTGTTCGGGTCGTTCATCGGCCCCAGTAATCGAACCCTCAGGTCCAGGAGTACCCGGAGGTCTCCCCTCCGGTTTCGGGGAAATCGTGAGCACAGGCTTTGATACAGGCATTTCAGAAGGTCCTCCAGCCCCAGGGAAGGACAGCAATCCCCTCTCCACCAACCCGTCCCTCACAAGCACCTTGAGTTCATCTTTCCTCACCGTTTTGGGGTACTGAATAGCATAATATTCAGCAATGATCATTAGCTCTTTCTTCTTGCAATGGTCGATTCGGTCAACAGAAATATTATCAATAAACTCCTGTAAATCGAATAAAGCCATTTTGAAATATCCAACTACGATTACTTACCCTACACTTACTTACGTCTTTATCTGGCCACTTTTTTTTTTTGGACCGGGAATGGTTAAAATTCGATAGATCCCGGACGAGCCCCCAATATGTTACAACCCAGTGCTAGGGACAAAGGAAAGTAACACAAACCAGATATGATGTAACGTAAATAGATTTTATAAAGTGGTGTAGGTAAATAGATTAACAAAAAAAATAACTAAACGTCACAATTAAGATTTCACAATTCCAGAAATTTACTAAACCCCTCATAAACTGAGAAAACAAAAACATTGCCCAAGGGCCGAGCCAACCTGGCAAAACTAAAAGGGTATAATACAAAACACTCTTTACAATAACAACAAGCGAAAGTCTACAGTTGTGAGGGCGAACTGAAACTGCCATCCAGCCGCCAGGAGGGACAGGCGCACCGCACTTTTATTGGCGGAGGTGATTGAGGTGGAAGGATGGGATTGGAGGGACGGGACGTCAATCCTCCAACCACAGCACAAGGGGTGTCGGAGCCAGCACACATCCTCGGAACCACGGCCCACCAGTCAGACATCAGGCACCACACGGAACATGCAAATACGGAAGACACAAGCGGTGATACAAACGGGGAGCGCCAGGCGATGCGGAGCCGGAGACAGACCGCGAGCCGTAACAAAAGCATAAGCCAATGCCACACTACTACTCCCTTCCTTAAATCTGTCTCTCCTGGTTATTTCCTTGACTTAGTAAACAGATGTTCTTTTGCTTCTGGCCGACAGGTAAAGTGGACTTTCCCTTTGTCAGTGTAACCAGAGAGGACAAACACCTTCACTTGAGCTTCACACACCCAGCAGTTCTATATTCCCCTGGTCACAAATCCAAGAAGAAGAAAAGCCTAGACTCCCAGATGCGCCTGCCCATCTTTCACTACGATATTCACATCATTAACCAGGTCAGTATTTGCACTTTTTCATTGAAATTGTTTTAATTATTTCTAATTGAACGTTTTATGCCTCTTGTAGACTGAGTCACATAAACACAGCTGCTCAGAGAGTGTATGTCAGGACAAGCTCCCAGTGCATGACAGTGAGAAAATCTATTGTTTGATCATGAGTGGAGAGATGAAGAAAATATCTGTACAAGCTACAGAGAAGTACTGTTCGAAGCCTCTGAAAGCTGCAGGAATCAGTTGAGACTTTATTTTTTATTTTGTATTGTCCTGTATGTATTATTATAATCATTTTTTTAGAGCCGTGATCTAATTATTTTGATGTTCCGTACTTCTTTTAGGTGCCCTTGCCTACATTTTACCTATTGTTCTGGTGGTGGTTGGTGGTCTCCTCATTGTTTTAATGGTGTTTGTCAAGAAAACAAAATCAATGCCTTTACTTCCAAGCTCTCTGGTAAGTTCACAGTTCAAATTTAAATGCTCTTACATTTTTGTTTTTTGTTTTTGGTGTAAATACTCTCTAAATCACATGCGTGCATGAATGTTTTGTTTGCTTTTTAACTGTGGGGTTACTATGTTTTCTTCTTATGCAGTCTTTGGTAGTTTCCACTTTTCTATATTGTAATAACATAATATATTAGTTAGTGTCTTCTTGTAACGTACTAATATCACATTTTTTATTTGTGTTAAAGAACATTTCTAAGAGCAATGGTCATCGGCCGGAACAAAAATCACATGAGTCAGAGTATTCTTCTGCACATCTGGACCCTTCTTCCCCTACATTACTCATCACACCAAACCAGGACACAGCAGATTACAGTAGTTCAGGTGAATGCACCATACGACTGCGTCTTGGAATAAAAGAAGAAGACAATGAAATCCAACTGGAGTCTGAGGAAGCAGTAATGCCACTAGACACGGGCTACTCAGACGGCAAGTACTTAGATGAAGATGAGGAAGCCCCTATTCCGTATGAGCCGCGCAACACTGCTGAAGCGAATAATGACTGAGAATGCAATAACATGTAAATTCACTATCATTCGTTTAAATTCCCCAAAACAAATGTCATGATATTTGTATCATTTTGTAATAGTGGGATTGTTACGCAGATATAACCATACACCATTTACTGGAACAGATTTTGGCTAAAGGAGTATGGATATCGGCTATAGGATTTTCAAATGTTTTAATTTTATACTTTTTTGTTTTGTTCTGACTGTCAAACCCTAACATTTCAAAAGATAATGTCACTTTAAATGAGAGCAAGCTCTGATTTGTGTTAGCACCTTGTATAAAAATAATTTAAATAGTGCCTTTTGATTTTTACCAGATGAATCTTAACATCAAAAGTGCTTAATGCATTAAACAGTATGAACACATCATAGATGTAAACTATTGTTGTGGTGTCTGGAAAGACCCCAAAACTAAAACTCCCAAGTAAATAATTTGCACTTTGAATCCTGTTGCACTGAAATTTTTCCCAAGTTCAACTAAAACTACATTTCTACACTAAGTGATATATGATCATGTTGGCTCTAATTCTCACACAGTTGAACATTGCTTCCATGTTATGTACAGGAAAT